CAGATGTAACTGATTGGAAGTTTCATTGGTGGATGAAAAGCAAGTTTAATGAGGTAAGGATACCAAACTTACTCTTGTCCAAGTCAGTGCAATTAAAATGACCCGGGCCTTGTCCATGAAATAAGGAAGGTACCCCTTAGTGCTAGACTGAACTGGTTTTATAGCCCCTACATGTAGAAGAGTAGTGACTTCCGATCTCAGCAAATGATTGTTAGAGGAATCCCTGACAAGGGACATGGAAAGGGGTTGGGTGGGAGAGATGGAGGCAAAATGAATGAATAACAGGATGTGTTTACTTCCAAAGCCCATTTGTTGGATGTTGTTCTCTCCCATGCAGGCTGTATCCAGAGTGGTGGAGGAGGGGAGGATAGTGCAGAAGATGGTTCAGGCTCTCAACCAAGCCATCAAAATTGTCATTTAGCTGACATGGATGGCTGGGATAAAGTAGCTGTGGCAGCTGGTTGGCTTCTTTGAGTATCTTGGTCTCTTGGCTGGTTGTTCATGTGGCCTGTGGAAATTCGAGAAATGAATTGGGAAGATCAATTGGGATATTTGAGACTTGCTAAATTTTCTTTTATTTGCAGGTGTATACATTTTGAGGGATCTAAGGGTAGCCCTCGAGTCCTTCAAAATTTGAAGCAACTCATCAGTTGATTTAGAGAATACTTGTGGCCATCCAAAGGGAGGTCCTCAGCAGTATTCTGCGATTCCCAAAAGAAACTGGACACCTAGCGCCAAGATGGTTGTCACATCGTGATCATGGTGGAAATGGACCAGGCTGCCATATCAGCTGCATATAAGGAGGACTGTAATAATGTTCTCATTAAGAGTTGCCCTTCATTGATGTCCTTAAATTGTTTGCAGTGTTCCTCTGGCAAATGCACAATAAAGGTGTTGAATTTATTGTAATTCAGATATGTCAAAACAAGGCTGAGCACTTGGTGGTTTGAAATGCAATGTTACAGATGAGTAACTCTTGCGACTGAAGAGATGAAGTCACTTCTGCTCCTTGCTGTAATGAGAGGACTTTGTTTTGTGCTGTCTATCACACTTATCTACTGTTTCCACAAGCAGAGAATTCAGTAAAAACTCTGAGTACTTGGCTAGAACATAATATTTTTGTTGGCACGTTTACAGGTAGTGGATGCTGTAGCCAGAGTCTGCCAGATAGTCTTAGCAAGTTCTAATAAAGCCAGATTCACAAGAAGGGCTGAAGGTGCAGAAGCTGAAGCATGTAAAATGTCCAGGAGCTTATGATGAGTCTTGGACCTTCGCTATAGTGATTTGAAACATATATCCACTATGCACTTCATCAGCTCCTGAAATTATCTAGTTATTTGCCATGGATGGTGGTGGAGGCATTAGACTCATCCAGCAATGAGGAGAGATTCATGTGAGGTGTTACCTCCTTGTCTGCCCTTGCCTCCTGCTCCTCAAAATTTTTCTCTGGTTGGTGGGGTGTGAGTGAGGGCTCAGGGGAATGGATCTGCCTATTTGCCCTAAAAAAGTGACTCAGAACATTTAGGAATTGTTGGCAGTACATGACCCAAGGGTCCCAATAAGGACACCTGGGAGAGCCCATAAGGTGAAGGAGGAGCCGTCCACCATTAGTAACACCAGGGAGACAGAGAACAAGGTCATCAGAATAGGTAAAAGAATGGTTTCTTGCAGACTATACCATTGAATTGAAATCTGAGAATCAGAAAACTCATCAACGTTTTCGGGGAAGGGATGATAACTGTTTGCTCTGGATTGTCAACACTGGGGTAAAAGGAGGTCTTAAAGAAAAGTGTGGAGTCTGGGACCTAGATCTCCATTACTGCTGGGGGAATTCTGCACCACTGTGCAATGCAGAATTTTGGAGAAATTAATGGGTTTTGCGCATAATTTTCTTTCCCCTATAGAAATGGGCTTCAGTGCTCCTGGCTGCCACTAGGGGCCACTGGAGCCAGCAGAGCCCAGCTTGCACATAGACACGGCTGAGGGGAGAGGGAGAGTGTAGAGAGTTCTAGGCAGTTGCAATTCCCCGCACGCCCTGAGGGAAGGAGATGGCGGTGCACCAGGAAACTCCATACAAGCCTGGGTCCCAGAAGCAGACTGTTTCTCCTTCTGGATCCCTGGGCAGTAAGGGGGCAGGTGTCTGGGCTGGGCGGGGGGCAGTGGCTGGGTTTAGGGAGCGAGGGCATGGGTGTCTGGACTAGGGGAGGCCACAGCTGGCATCTGGAGAGGAGGAGGGTGGATATCTGGGCTAGGGGGGCCCTCACAGCTGGACTTGGGGAGAGGGGTTGTGGGTGTCTGGACCCCTAGCTGGATTCTGGGTGGTGAAGGGGGCAGAGAGTTTCTTTAACTCTCTACTGCTGGGGGAATTTTCATGTGTGTCTGTATTGTTACCTGTCAGCACGTCTGTATTTTTAAATTACCAAAATAGTCGAAACTGGTGTGATTGTGGCTGTGATTATTTTGACCAAAAAAAAACATTTGCAGCATTTTAAAATATTGTGTGCAGAATTTTTAATTTTTTTGGCACAGAATTCCCCCAGGAGTACTCAGTGCACATAAGTCATGGAAATTCTGGCTGATCGGCAGAAGATCCTTTTGAAAATCTAAACTTCTGTGATACTGATGCATAAGTAAGAGTTGGACACAATCCTGTGGAGGCGAACATTGGTACTGCGGTAGAGACCTTTCCTGGATGTGTTGGTGCAGCAGATGAGTGAGTATATCCAGACTCTGACAATATCAATGTAATGGTCCAGCTCACTGGGATGGGTAGAATCATAGGACTAGAAGAGACATTGAGAGGTCATCTAGTCCAGTCCCCTGCCTCGTGGACTAAGTATTATCTAGACCAGGGATTGGCAACCTTTGGTATGCAGCCTGTTAGGGAAATCTGCTGGCGGGCCAGGCCTGGCTGGTTTGTTTTCCTGCAGCGTCTGCAGGTTCGGCTGATCGAAGCTCCCACTGGCTGCGGTTTGCCATTCCAGGCCCACAGGGACTGCGGGAAACAGCGGCCAGCACATCCCTCGGCCCACGCCACTTCCTGCATAGGTCATGTTTTCTAGACCTTTAATCATTTTTGTTGCTCTTCTCTGGACTTTCCAATTTGTCCACATCCTTCCTGAAATGAGGCACCCAGAACTGGACACAATACTTCATTTGAGGCCTAATCAGCGCAGAGTAGAGCGGAAGAATTACTACTTGTGTCTGCTTAGAACATGCTTGCTAATATATCTCAGAATGATGTTCACGCTTTTTTTTTTTGCAAGAACATTACACTTGTGGTCCACTATGGCCCCCAGATCCCTTTTCACAATGCTCCTTCCTAGGCAGTCATTTCCCATTTTGTATGTGTGCAACTGATTGTTCCTTCCTAAATGGAGTACTTTGCATTTGTCTTTATTGAATTTCATCCTATTTACTTCAAAAAGGTCTGAATTTTAATCCTATCCTTCAAAGCACTTGCACCCCCTTCCAGCTTGGTATCATCTGCAAATTTTATAAGTGTACGCTATGCCATTATCTAAATCATTGATGAAGATATTGAACTGAACCAACCCGAACTGATCCCTGTGGGACCCCACTCATTACGTGCTTCCAGCATGACTCTGAACCACTGATAACTACTCTCTGAACAGTTTTTTCCAACCAGTTTTGCACCTACCTTATAGAGTAGTAGTTCCATCTCAGTTGCATTTCCCTAGTTTGTTTATGAGAAGGTCATGTGAGACAGTATCAGAAGCTTTAGTAAAGTCAAGATATACCATGTCTATCGCTTCCCCCCCCCACCATCCACAAGGCTTGTTACCCTGTCAAAGAAAGCTATCAGGTTGGTTTGATAGGATTTGTTCTTGACAAATCCATGCTGACTTTTACTTATCACTTTATTATCTTCTAGATGTTTGCAAATTGATTGCTTAATTGTTTGCTCCATTCTTTCCAGGTACAGAAGTTCAGCTGACTGCTCTGTAATTCCCTGGATTGTCCTTATTTCCCTTTTTATAGATTGGCACTAGATTTTTCCCCTTTTCTGGTCTTCTGGAATCTCTCCCAGTACCACAGCTGCCAAAGAGTCTGGTGTTCTAGACCTTTTTGAAGTAGAATGTCAGCTCATATAGAAATAAACACTTGAAGCAGAAGAGGTCTTCATCATTGAGCCTCATTTGGCAGAAACGAGGCTCTTGGGGAGCCTTACACATTTTCCCAGTACTAGAATCACTTGGAGCCTCGCTATTACTCCCTTTGGTACCTGATGTCTCCAGAACATTCTTCACAATCAGCAATCCAGACTTCTTGGAAGGAGATAGATCATGCCTGCTCCTTTTGTTGGTACCCATACACTTAGAGTACTGGGCTTTTGGTACTTCCAGCATGGACATAGGTGCCACATCTCCCAATGCTTTTGTGACTGAGACCCAGAGGTGGATAGGGTACCAGTCTACATATCTCTCAAGGGTCTTGGTGAACAGGATCTGGAGGTAGACTGAGCACTATATATGCTCAGATGCTGGTGGCCATGGGGGTCCTTGGATCCTGGATCAGAAGCCAATCCTAGAGCTTGCTCCATCGTCAATGGTTTGACTTTATTTCCCTGTTTATGAAATCTGCTGTTGAATGGGGAGCAGCTCTTACACTTAACCGGTATGTGTGTGTCTCCTAAACACCAAAGGTGTCCAACGCTAGCTGGGATAGCCTCCTATCAGGAAAAACAGTGCTTTAAGCATGGGGATCCCAGGGTACCCCAGATAGTAAAAACGTCCAGAACAAACCCTCAAAAGGTAGAAACAACAAATCCCAACTAAACTAACTATGACTAGGCAAAAGGGAAGTAGGCATGATCAACATTCCATCTCAGGCTGAAGGCAGTTGAGGGTGGTTCACTTGTGCAATCCTATATATCCTTGGTATGAGGCATGAGGATATGTAGGATTGCATGCACAGGCTGAACGGGCACTGCTATCAAAATCTCAGATCAAAGATGCAGGAACACATGTGCCTCTGAAGTAGAGCACCCATTGGGACACTATGCAAAGAAGATTTCCACATCTACTTTAGCCGCTTACCCAGCAGGACTTGAAGGGCTTTCCGAGTCACCAGCCACTGATTTCAATAGCTCCCCCGATTCCATCGCTGCTGCTGCTGCTCTTTTTTCTCCAAAATTGAAGTTTTAGTGATGTTTAAAGCTGGAACAGGACAGGGGAGACGTGGTGGGGGTACAGAGAGCAGATGCTAGGGAAACTTGGGAAGAAAGAAAACTGGGGTCACAGAAAGGGGCATGAGAGGAGGGACAGTAGCATAGGGAAGGGTCTGTGGAGCTAGGGAGTGCAGTTTTGGAGCATCAAGGACAGGTGTAAATGTATGTCTAAGGATTCCTAAATGTGAGACACACATTGCATGAGCACACTTGTATATACGGGCAGTGAGGCAAGTGCACTCTTGCTTACAGGTTGGATCACATATACTCTCACATTTGGAAGCAAACTGCCCGCTTCTCCTTCTCCCCCCAAGGATTTACTGTGTATTGCAGATTCTGTGCCAGAATGATGCATTTGTAAGCATATGCTGTACCGGCTCCTGTGTCACTGCAGCCTCTGATGCCAAGTCCTCATTCCCTCTCCCAGAGCTGCTGTATGTGCATCTTTGCTGGGAAGGGCTGCAAAGGTAGTAGGAGAAGTTGCAGAGTAAAAGGCTTGGTCATCATTGGCTCTAACTTTTTTCATTCTTTCTCCTTTTCATTACACATCACCAGTGTAAATGGATGGGCTTCATAGAAGCTTGAAGTACTGAGAGGTTTTGATCCAGACCCAAGCTACAACCAGTGATGTCCGAGACCAAACTGGATGATCCCCCTTCTTGTAGGAACTGGTCTTCTGTTCCAGAACTGAATGATACTCAGGAGCGTTTTTCAATCCCCTCTGTTGACTACGATGATAAGGAATTTCTGCGATACCTTTGGAGGGAATATTTACATCCCAAAGAATATGAATGGGTCCTGATTGCAGGGTATATTGTTGTATTCATTGTGGCTCTCATTGGAAACATCCTGGGTGAGTATTGCTCTACATTCCTCCCCAGAAGAGTTGTAATATAACCTGTTTGGATTGTTTTTCAAACTGCTTAAACTGTGAATAAAGAACAGCAGTGTAGTGGTGGCATTTGGGAACATTGTTTTTTGCATCTGAGAGTGAAAGTTAGATTTAGACAAACAGATGAGATGAATGTGTGTGTACCTGACAGTTTATTTTGAAATGAAAATTGCTAACTCTTCATGCCATTTGTCATGATTGTGGTATTTAACAGGCTGGTAGCATCATGTGCTACAGTCTTTTGAGACTGCTAAAAGCAGCTTTTGAGTGTTTTAATTTAGAGAGCAACATTAAGACATCCAGGTTTTTTAGCTGTTTACTAACAATTAGTTGCAGTTGTAATTAGAATCCCTAAGTAAGGGGCTATCCAAGCTAGGAAGGTTGTGTCAATGAAATGTTAATTTTCTAATCTCTGTCCAGCTGTCAGAGGTGCTGAAATTCTCCAGCCCCATTCAAATCTTTACAGACAGATGTTTTCCCCTCATACAGTGCTGACAGCTGCTCTTCGACAGCACTTCTCTGCCTGGTCGTCATGCTTTTTTCATTCAGATATTCTCAACCGAGTTGGTAGAGTTTAACTTCCACATTTAAATGCATAGGCGGTCATTACTCACCTGACAGGAGCTACTGTTGGCACTGATAAATGTAGAAAACGGATCGAGAACTTGGTCTCATATCTGCAGGTTGAATCGATTTCTGTGCATAGAATGAATGCTAGGATCCAAGGGTGTAACTATGGAGAATAGGGCACTCCCAACTTTCAGTCCAGGAGGGAGAGGAGACAGAAATATCTGTCTCTCCACACATCCCCACTCATATTTCATTCATCTGTGAAGGAGGAGGGGAGGTAGCACAGCAGGAAGCAAAGAACAGTGGCTGCAGCTTCATGCAGAATTGCTGAGCAGAACCCTATCAGGGAAAAAGTGAAGGGGGTGCTGTTCAGGGGGGGACTTGGAGGCAGGTACCATGGGTAATTTATGGGAGGTGAACTGCGGGGCAGGGGAAGGCAGAGAGAAAGGGGGAAGATATAGGGATCTAGAGGAGTAGGAAGGTAAGGCAGAGCAAAGGGGGAGGTTGGAGGTACTATAGTAGACCAACTGAGGGAGAGAATGTCAGAGTGACTGAGGGAGGCAAGGAGGATGTGAAGCAGGGGATGGAGCAAAGCAACATCACAAATGAAAGTTTTAGTGAAACCTTAGGGCACAGAGTTATTGGGACCTTAAAAGAGTAAAGACGGGAATCTGGGGAGGGAGGAAAAACGGTGAGTGGAATAACTAGGGGAGAGAATGGCCTTTGGGAGGAGGTGACCAAAGGGATGTGGAAAGAGGGGGAGGTATGGGAATAAGAAGAGGTCTTGAGGTAGGGAGGGGAGAAAAGGGGTTTGAGGAGAGAAGTGGATATTTGAGAGAATGAGGAAGAGTTTGGGAAAAGATGCTGGAAAAGTGAAGTGCAGAAAGAGGGGAAGGTTGACTGAAGGATATGGAGGTTGGGCAGAGTTTGAGAGGTTTGAGATAATATGGGGTTGGGAAAGAGGAGAGATTGGAGATTTGGAAGTAGAGGGAATATTCAGGGAGAGGGAGGGAGGTTTTGCAGAGCAATTGGGAGGAGGACAGTGTAAGGTGTTTGAGACAGATGGGTATTGTGGAGCAGTGGGTAGAGCAGGAAGCTTTGTGGAAAGGTACTAAAGTGAGATTCAAAGACTTGGATGTGTCAAGAGGAGAGTAAAGAGCCTGGGAAATGAGGAGGTTGGGGGAAGAGGTAGCACAAGCTGATAAATTTGAGGTGGAGGATGGTAGGAGAAGTGCAGAGCCATGGTGTGGAAGGAGCAGACAGTAAGGACAGGCAGGAGTCTGGAGGTAGAGAGAACAGCGGAAGTGGTTGGACAGTAAAGGCAGAGGAAACTTGGGGGGGGGGGATAGGAAGGATGGAGGAAGAGGAGCTTGTGCATAGGTAGCAGATTTGAAGGTAGAGGAGAGAGAAGAATGATGGGGGAGAAGGAAGATGCCTTTAAAATAAGGAGAAGAAGCTGGGGAGCATGAGGAGACTTAGGGGGAGCTGGTAGTGACTGAAGAGAGAGAATGTGAAGGGATTAATGAGGAGCCAACATCCTTGGAAACTAAAAGTACCAGCCAAAGGGTAGCTCTCAGGAGAAATAATTGAGTAATATCAAGGAAAAAATATATGTAACTCTTTAGAATCTAATGTAAGCATAGGTTTATAAAGAAATGTTCCAGCAGTTATGTCCAGGGCTTAAATGCTAGGACAAGTAAATCATGCCACACAATTGGAGGAGAATTAAGGATGCATTCAGGGACCGATTCTCCAAGTACTTGAAACCACAGGATACTGGACTCCTGGGGGGAATTAAAATACCCAGATGTCTGTTGGGTGTTGGTTACAACCAAACATACACCATCAGCAAGTACCCTGAGTTACACACAGGAAAGGGTTATAATCCATGAGCTAAAAAATGCAGCCGCAAGAGAAATCATCTTGGACTGACTTGCTACTGATCAGGAGGAACTGATTGAAAATGTGAGGCAAATAGAGGCACGATAAGGAGTGTTCACAAGCTACTTGAATTTAACAGAATATCAAAGGGTTAATAAAAGCTAGCACTACAGAGGGATTAGATTTCAAAAAAAGCACTTAAAATTTCTATTGAACAGAATGAAATGGGAGGAATTATTCAAATCTTGACTGTGGAAGAAGGCAGAACACTCTAAACATACCGCAATAAAGGCTTCTCAGGTGGGGAGTGGGGGAAGAGAAGAAAGGAGGACTGCCAGAAACAAGAAGTGGCTAGTGTAGTGAGACTTGGAAAGGGGAGGAAGCCACCCAAACAAGACTGCATAATTAAGAGTTGTAGGAAAAAATTTATGGACACAAAACCTAGTGCTAGGCATAGGAATCCAGAATCTGAAAGGGTTTTGTATTGTTACAAATATATTAGAGGTCGTGTAACGGGGAGAAAATTTCCATACTGAATCTTTTAATTTCTCCTCATGGTTTCAATTTTTCTAGGACCCTTTGTGTAATTTCTCACTGGTAATTCACATAACATGGTAAATTTTAAGTAACTTCCATTCTAAGTATGGGAAATTCCATCATGGATAATTGACTTTTGTTTTCATTCTGTAGTCCACTTTATAAAATAAATCCTTTTATGGATCCAGTGCATTTCCCAATAGCTTCATCCCCTCACATGTGGTATCCACTAAAAAAAACCACTAAGATGTTCCTGCATTAATCATTAAAATGATGTCCTATATCAGTAGTTCTCAAACTTTTGTACTGGTGACCCCTTTCACAAGCCTTCGAGTGCAACCCCTCTTATAAATTTAAAAACACCTTTTAATATATTTAATACCATTAGAAATGCTGGATGCAAAGCGGTGTTTGGGGTGGAGATGGACAGCTTGCGACCCCCTCCATGTAATAACCTCGCAACCCCCTGAGGGGTCCCGACCCCCAGTTTGAGAACCCCTGTTCTATATTCATCCTGTATTGTAGCTGCCAGTGGTAAGCAAACTTCTGCATAAGTAGCTTGGCCTTCTGGCATTTCAAATTGTTTTTCCTCATCTTAGCATTAGTGTCTCTTGGCCCATTGCATAAGGACATAAGATGTCATTGACAGAAATGTTTTGTAGTGGGAATTGGAGAATTGCAGCAACAACTGAAGAGACACTGGATCTCTGGCGAGGGTGCTGGAAAGCTGTGTGAGACCCAGATTAATAACCAGGAAGTGTTAGAAAGTTTGAATAGTAATATACAAACTTAAGGGTGGCTGGATCTGAAGGCCTAAGAGTATCTGAATTAGGAATGCCCAGTGAAGCCTGAGATTTGGAGAATCTCCTAACTGAATTTTCCATCTTAAGTAAAGCTAATTTGCAAAGCTGTTTTCCTTGTAATTTAACACAATTATTTTAGTGCTTTAATTATATTACATTCTTCTCTCTAAAGAAGAACTTGTTGTGTATTAGGGATTGTAGAGAAAAAAACGTATCCATGAAAGTTAGGCTGTCATATGTGACCTGCAGCTACATATATTTGGCCCAGTCCTTAGCTGGTGCATGTTGGCATAGTTCCCTTGTCTTCAATGGAGCTACCACCAAATTACACCATTTGAAGGTATGCCAATAATGGGTTCATGTTCTTTTCTGTTTCTTTAACAATCCTCTTAACCTGAATAGAAACCCAATAAAATTTCAGTTGAACTTTTTGGTCATGGTGTTAGCCATGGAGATAGGAGTGGCAGAGAACGAGCAGCTTGGAAGACTCCTAAGATCTGATTCCCCTCTCCCCTAAACTACTTTTACATTGATTTAACTCTTTGGGCTTCAGGGGAATTACCTTGGTGCGCGTGAGATCAAAATCTGGCCCATAAGCTTGGGATTTGGTGTATTTAGCCATAGCTAGACCCACAGTTTGAATTAAAGCTTTTGAGATGCAGTGCTGGCAAAGACTTCTGCGTATCTCCTGAATAGAAAAAAAGACAAGTACCTATGTTAGAAATATTGTTGGAGAGAAGCAGACCCTGATGTTGGAAATCGGCAGACATAAACTTATGTACTTTGGCTATGCTAGGTGCAGAGATGGAAATGCCCTGGAGAAAATTACTATAGAAGAAACGGTGGAGGGTCATCGTAGTAGGGGATGACCAGTGATGAAATGGGTGGATGGTGTGCAGCAGATCACTGGAAGATCAGCTGCTGAGTGCTCGAAGTTAGTGATGGATCGTGAAGGTTTTAGAAAATTCTACTGTCATGTCACTGATATTCAGACATGAATAAATGGATTTATTTACTAGAACCAGAGTGGCAACATGAATACGAAGGGTATCCTACTATGAAGCACATTTCAGACAGCTCTAGCACTGTTATTTATATTGCAGTTGTGCTCAGAGGACCCAACCAAGATCAGGGACCCACAGTGCTAGGTGCTGTACAAACACACATGAA